TCAGAAATTTTTTGGGCGAAAAAATGGCCTTATCGATACTTGTCCTTTGATTGGTCGATTTGCTGACCTATCCAATGTTAGCCTACTTTAATGGTCAGTAATATTATTTTGATCAAGTTTTCAACGAAAATGTTTCAAAAACATGACAACGTTTTACAAAGAAGCTTTTTTTAACTTCAAACTAATGTAGATTTAGAATATATTAAAATGCCAAAACTAAAGATGGGCAAAGTGGTTCCGGTCCCAATTTTTTTTGACCGGGGCCGGGATTGGGACTAAATTTGTTTTTGGCCGGAATTAAACTAAAACAATTGGTCCTATTCACATCTAATTGAGCATCTGAGAAGGAGAACATTAGTGACTAAATCAGTTGCAGTATAGCAGCAAGATGTTTCAAACTTATAGACAGTGATAGAGAATAATTTGAAGCTCTATACTGACAAAACTTCTGCTAGCCTCAGTACCGGTACTGAATTCTTTTTTAACCGGGATCGGGATCTGGTCCGAAAAACACTGGCTCCACTCATGTCTAGCCAACAAAAAGTTGAAAAGGGAAAGAAATCCGAGCGCATTTTGCAACATACAAGATCGATAGCTTATAGGAAATCATAAGACCACCGTTTTTCAATATGTCAAGCATGCAATATTGAATTTTTCCGGGCAACGCCGGGTACTTCAGCTAGTAATCAATAAATTCAGATAGTACTTTAGTAATCAAAAAAATAATAACTAGAAACACTAAATTAATGAATAGTTTTTTTTTTAATGATAAAATATTTACTCAAAGGAATCTAAATTAATTTGTATCAGTGAATACGAAATTAATGTAGGTTCATCTGGTTGCGGAAAATCAACAATTATTCAACTTCTAGAACGATTCTATAATGTAACGGAAGGAGAAATTGTATGTGTAAACTTTTTATGAAATTACAAAATAAAGACGAAGGCTTTTTTTGTTTTGCTTTAAATTAGTTATTTGATGATATGAATATAAATGAGATTAATATTAATTCTCTTCGTTCTCACATTGGTCTTGTAAGCCAACAACCAATTTTATTTAGTATGACAATAGCTGAAAATATTCAATATGGATTACAGAATTTTACATTTGATGAAATTATCAATGCTGCAAAGAAAGCAAACATACATAATTTTATTCAGCAATTACCACAAGTAAATTTATGAATTATTTTTATTATTTGTTTATGTATTTAATTATACAAGGGTTATGAAACATATATTGGTATAAAAGGGAATCAATTATCAGGAGGTGAAAAACAACGTATTGCAATTGCTCGTGCAATGATTCGAAATCCCAATTTGTTAATATTTGATGAAGTAACAAGTGATTTAGACTCATATAATGAACAAGTATTTTAAATATGTTCAATTCATATTTATAAGTTTCTCTTTTATTAGATTATACAACAAACAATTGAAAATATTCAAAAAGAAAATCCTCTACAAACAACAATTACAATAGCTCATCGAATTTCTACCATTCGTTCATGTCATCAAATTTATGTTATTGATAAAGGACGTATTATCGAAAATGGGTCTCACGAAGAATTGATTCAACGAAATTCACATTATTACCAAATGATTCTTTTAAATAAATTACAATGATTCTTAGGGGCCTTACATTCTAAATAAATTTATCTAAACAGCTGTTTTGATTTTTTTAATGATCGTTGATTTATTCTTATAAGAATAGAAATCACTTTTTCTACATCTATGATCTTGATGAAATGATCAACACTTCGTGGAGTACTAATTTTTTTGTAAATGCTGTTCAACATATCTATACAAGTTGAAATGGTATAATCTCTTGAGAAAAAAAGCAGACAAGAAATAAAAATCCAACTTTAGACATGCTCAGTACTAGTTATAGAATAGTGGCAAAAATGTTAAACTTGAGATTAGCATATAAAAAGACACAAAATCGTAGGAAATTTTATCATCATGATGTGTAATAGCGCAACATATCTTATATCAAATAGCATCGAGTTGGGTATGGGTGTTCTGACCTCTCTATAGACTGAGCTCCACCCACAACTCAACAGCACGGACACAGCCTTTTTGTCATGGCATGTATGAGATCACTATTCAACGAAGAAGTAATATCGATTATTAAATTTAATGATCCGTGGTTTTTGTTAGTGTTCCATGAAACGCTCATTTCTTGCTTGTGTACCGTCTAATAAGCGTCATATGTTTCTTCGGCGTAAGACAATTTCTGACCATTAGCATAATTTTCTTGATAAGGTTCAAATTCAGCATAGGCACGTGTTGATGGTACATTAACATGCACAAGTGTGATCGAAAGGAAAACTGCTTTGACGTACTCATTCCCTGGGAGGTTATTCCGCAAGCTGACAGAATACCGTAAAAGCTGTGTGCTCAGCGGCATTATCTGTAAATCTATTGGAGCAAGCGCTTTTCCAACAATCTTCTTCATTACCATTTCTCCAGGAGTTCAATACAATGAGACAGTATTTCAATGCTGTTGTTGCTAAGTTCCAAATTGTTAGAACCTAAAACTACTGAAAAGAGATCCATATATCAGGATAGTAGATGGGTGTACGTGTTCTCATCAACTAGATTTGCACCCACTTTCGTTCCATACCCTCATACAACGTGTTATATGTTCTACGTATACATTTTATCTTGTGGTGTTCATTTAATAATCATTACTTTTCTTCCATCTTCAAGTAGTCACATAAAGAAGACGTTTCATTCTTTCGATTTTTATCCAACTTGAATTCTTTCTTTACCTTTTCTGTTTATCATTTCCTGACTGACCTATTTCTTGCTCTCTAAATATAGATACACACGTAATTATGTCTGTGGGTGCGGGTGTGGGCGAGTGTGGGTGTGGGTTAAATTATTGTCCAAGCTCACACCCACCCATACCCACACCCACAGCCCACACCCACCCACATCCCACACCCACCCACACCCACATCCACACCCACACCTATACCCACACCCACACCCGCCCATACCCACATCCACACCCACACCCCACCCACACACCCACCCACACCCCACACCCACACATACCCACACCTACACCCACCCCACACCCACACCCTCACACCCACCCACACCCACACCCTCATGTAAAATTGATCCAGCCAAATGTAAATTAGACCGTGAAGAAGGCTTATTTAAGATTACATGTGCGAAAAAGAAAGATAATGTAGTAGTGCTTGAATAATGATTTGATCCAAATATTATGAACCAAAAAAACCCTTCAAAACTATAGTGTATTTTATCATTTTTACTGATTCTGATATTGATTTTGTCTCCTTTTCGCTTTATAGTATCTTTTATGCTTGTGATTCTTCCTTTTATTACATAATAAAGAAAGCAAAGGGAAAAGTTATTTATATTTCAAAGTGGATGTGACTATAGTTTCCATCCTGTGCAAAATATTATCATCGACCCGTTTTAGATTTCTCATCTTGCCAAACCATGATTTCATGCTATGTACGATTGAACAAAAAAATCTGGGAACCTATTGGGATTAGGAGTAGGTCACTCGTACACAACACAGCGTATGGGTGTAGGTGTGGAATGTAGTTATTGCGTATGGGTATGGATGAACAGATGATCTACACCTATCCGCACCAACACCCTTGTCAGTTTTCTTTTTTCCGCTTGAAGGTTTTTCAACAGACGAAGAGTTATCATCACTGACGAGAGATGTGATTCTATTGTGATTAATATTTTAACAGGAAAATTTACACTTAATTTGAACTGCTTAAAGAAAGCAAAATAAACAAGATATTCGAGAGAAATTCAATTATTTTATTTCAGATGAGGTTCTTTCTTCCTTTTTCTTTGAAATTGACGATAAGTAGTTGCTGTATATTGTTCCTATCCGCTCTCGAAATGATTCTTTTATGCAAACACAAAAGAGCATAGTTAAGAAATGAGAGTCGTCATTACTGGTAAATTAATTATGAAATCCTTGAACTGATGAAGAGGAAAGATTATTAACAAATGGTATGAATGCGCATAGTGTGATATACAAAGGGATCACATTCAGATTCTTCGATACCAATCGATACAACATAATTATCGTTTGGAATGAAGACAAGCAATCTATTCGAAGACATTTCTGAACGAACTTGACCAAGCTTGGCATTAATTGAGTGATGCTTTATCTAATCACACAATTCAATCATGGTTATTTATGTAATGATTGGTTTCAGACGAAAATTGAATGTGACATTGAAAGATTGTTCGTCAATAATTCCACCTATGAAATTCAAAAAGAATGCGTGAAACTGATTGAACGAAAAAATATCACTGATCAAAACGGAAGCTTTGAAAAAATATAGATGTTTTCATTTTTCTCAAACGGTTTCAAATCGATCTAAATCGTCTGAGATCTTCATATCTGATTGTGTTTATGGTCAAGCTCACAATAGCGAAGAATCTCAAGAAAATTTTTGATCGAATCTATATTGATCTAGAATTGTGAATTTGTTCTGTTTACCATCCCTATCCACATACACACCTTCAGAGCATTATTGTTCTATGCATTTCTCAATAGTAATTTTTATTTTAAGAAAATCCTAAAATACTTGATATTCATCAAGTTGGGTATGGATAAAGATTACAAGGATAATGACATCGCCACACTCGTGGTCAAAAAAATTTATAACTCTTTAAGCAAAAAACGTAACATTGAGGGTGGATGTGGATGTAGTCCTTGTTTCAACAATACTCACCCACAATCACAAGTACATCCACATTCACAAATATTGAAAGTTGAATTGAAACTTGAAAGTGGAAAGTTGGGGACTAGTTGTTCAATTAAATTGAAGTTTCAAGTTTGACACTACTGTCAACATTAGAAATAGACACATCTAAATGAAATATTTAATGGTTAAAAGTAATAAAGAATATTAAACTTTGAACATAGCTGAATAGATAGATCAACATTCGAGATATGTTTTCAAAGAACTTTCAAATACGTATAACTTATACGGTTAAGAACGAAGCAGAGCAATTTTCACTTGCTAAATTCATCGTGCGTTCTACATCTGCTCCTGAAAATTTTCTGTCATGAATAACCTACATTTTTTTTATCCTTCGTTGGAACTGAATTGTCTATGTAGAAGTGAACTTCAATTGGCAATTGTTGAAACGAAATCAGTTATTTGGTCTCAAAAAGAAACTGAATCACATCATTTTTTGCAGGGTAATATATTAAAAAGACAGAAGATAAAACTAATGTCAAAAGTAAAGTTTGATCGTCAACATATCTAAAATTCATTAAAATAGATATCTCTAAATACTATGCTCAAAATCTAGTTCAATATATAGACAGCAACTTTCAAAGAAGTAGTTTATGGTATGTCCAATGAATATCTTATCTTAAAGCACATACATTTCCAATAGGTTCCATCAACTACCGATATAATGTACTTTGTTTGGCTCCCTTTCGACAATAGTCGAGGATGTAGATGAAGCGAAGCAGAACATCTATAGTGAAATCCTCTTTTAACACAATTTATACTTCATACTTCTAAATATATTCTTCCATTCTAATCAAGATAGATAAACCAATACTTGTATCATGTATATCAATATTTCAAGCATAAAAAAGAATTTTTCAAATTTAACGGAAATTTTAATTCTTTTCTTAAACTAAAAAAAAATAACAACTAGTTTTCACATAATTATAATGTTTTCCATAGAGTTTTTGATATTTTAATAAAAGAAATGCGCGCATTTTTTATCTTCAATTCAACATGCTAAGTTTATATCTTAGATTTGTGTTACAATTCATTTTTATTATCTATTGTATAGTTAATTTAATATTAGCAGGTAAATAAATAAATCAATTAAATTTTCTTTTAAATATATATAATAATAAAAGACAATTCATCATCTTATAATCAATGTCAATCTAATTGGTATTATCTTCGAGAAGAAACAATTTGTCTTACATTTGCAACATCACAAGCAGGTGATGTATCATGGTATAATGGTTATAAAGCATGTCAAACAAGTTCTGCACAACTTTTAACTTTTTCGAATTCAATCAAATTTCAATCAGTTCAAAAAAAAATTCATGAATTAGAATATGATGATCAAATCTATTTAGATTATATTCAACGAGGTGCATGGATTGGAAATGCTAGTAAGATAATCATAGATATTTATTGATCGATATATATATGCAGGATAGTTCATAAGTAGCTTTGTGATAAAAAGCATTTGAATATCTCCTATCATAGTATGAATTTAAAATTTCAAAGTATAGTTTTTTTTTGAAACTTCTATAAAAACGAACATCAAGATGTGAGTGATGAAATAACCTACATCCACATTCTCGACAAAATATTCCCATGTTATACCATTGATTTAATAAGAGTTAGTCTTGAATTGGATTGATGATTTGAAGTCAACTTGAAGTATGAATTAGACCATACTAAAATCCGAAATTGACCTACAACAACATATATGTGTATATATAGAATGGTCAAAAGATGATTTATGTGATAGTACAAGTACAACAATTGAAGATCTTCAATTAAATTGTATAATATTAACAATACGTTCAAATAATCAATCGTTATGTCTGAAACGAGTATCATGTAGAGAAAAACATCCATTTATATGTCAAAGTTAACATGAAAGATTGTTCAATATAAATATCATTTGTTTATCTAGAGAAAGCAATGACTGAAAAAGAATTAGTTGAAAGTACTATGGAAAGATTGAACTTTTTGAAATGTATTATAATTATATGGTGTATTATTGATCATAAAAAACAAAAAGATAAAGAAAACAAAGAAGCTCTTGAAGCTGTCCTTGCATTAAATCAAGCTTTACAATTACAGATATATGTAAATCAATGTAAGTCTAGATTTTATTAAATAAATTTTCAATAGTTTCTTATTTTGTAGTTGATTTTGAGTTACCACAAGAGTTACAATTGAATGGTGAGTTGTTGATTGCAAAAATCATAAACTAAATTAGGATTAGTATATATATATATATAAATTGAAGAAGTAATTATTATATTTTATGTACATAGCTGATGAAGAAACTTCTATGCTGCCAAATGTAGACAAATTTACAATATTAGGTAGAAGAATTCATCATGTTTATGTTGATATAAATATTAATTGATGCAGGTTTTGGAATACAAGATTGGATGATCTTAATTGCTGGAGGATTTATAACTTTATTAATGATATGTATCTGTTGTACAGGACTTATTTTTATCTATCAATTCATAAAAAAACGAAGATTACGACAATATCCGACATATCGTGATGGTAGTATGGATTCAACATATTCTACTATATCGAGATGAATAGACAAATTACAACAATCTTTAGTTATTGATTTGATTATGTTATTAATAATATAATAAAATACATCCATCTAAATCTATACTTAGAATAGTGTTCAACACGCGTACAGTTTTTTGTACCATCTAGTAGATACAACAAAAACAAAGATAACATCTTAAGGATCTGACTTTGGAAATGGGTCTATCGGTATTTTCTTCAACTACACACATTTCCACACTATTGACTATTGGTTTTTTATATAATGAATGAGCAAAACGATCAAATAAATACAACTACTAAAACACTCAACAGACTACGAATATAAAAGAATTTAATTGTAAATAATTGGATATTCGTCGATGTGAATTAATATGGAAACAATCTGATAATGACGGTAATTCACAGTTAATTGGTTATTTTTTGAGAAAGAATTCATAACAAGGTAAAGCTATTAAACCAATACCTATTCAGATTCCATTAGATAACATATTGCAATATGTCTGACATGCACCATCCATTAAACAAAGTCATTTTATCTACGAAATCCGACAAAATATTTTCTGAGAAAAAAGTGTTTACATGTTTTCCAACCTTAAAAGTTGTCTTTTTAAGCGTCTTCGCGTACCTTTGATGATGAAAGTAGTTAGTTTTAGTGTTTTCTGAGTGAACATGAAAACACTCAAATAGCAACTGCAATTAGAGCATCTCAATGTATTTTGAGAAAATTCTTATCGGCTAAAAACAAAATAATCTTTAAGAAAATCAAAACTCAATAAATTGATGAAAATCTTCTTTTGTAACTCGAGTTTTGAAACTAAATTTAGCGTTTCAATTTTGATGTACATATAAAAACTAACGTAACTTATCTATTTTTGAAAATTTCCGACATCTTATTCTCTCCCAAAAAAACAACTTCACAATAATTTAACTTAATTCATATATTTTTGATTAAGAAAGAAATTCTAAAATTCATTTTCGAGGTCGTCCATCTACACTGTAGAAGTTACATTTATTGATGCAATATTCTCAAACACATTTCATATACAATGGATCAAAAGTAACAAAATCATTACAGTAGATACAAGTCAAATTAAAGTTAAAAATCTCATCAAGAATAATCATTGATAAAAATTCATTTGATATAGAAACGTGATTGATTATGAATGATTTGATTTAAATGCCTGAAAAAATCTATTTTAATGTATTATTCCGTTGAGTTTTATCAAAATATGATGTTTAATCGAATTTTTTATGATTGTTATTGAAAACTAATTTTAATCTGATTTTTTTTAACCGTTTTTTTTTCATCGAGTTTTGCTACTGTTCATTTGCATCATGTCATTTGAATGAAATCATTAATAGATAATGTCTTATTTATAGCATACTCTTAGAATTTTTAATCAAAGACTAATGATACACAGCAACTGAACAATACATAGGCAGAAATTATTCCTAGAGTTATATTTATTATCGGCTTCGGAAACGACAATCGTACTTATTCATCGTTTCTGGGTCTAGGAAATGCCCGACACCACTTTTAACTGATGAATCTATTAAGAATTGTACATGAAATTTTGATGGTGGTGAATCGGGAATAGAATGTGGAACATGTTCCATAAACATATGACATATATTATCATGTAGTACTAAAAATGATTGTTTGATAAGCTCGTTGATTTACTTCATCTATTGTAGATGTTGTTTGACCATTATCAAGAGAAAATACAATTTGAAGTGAAAAATAGGATTCTGTAGATTTCTGCCAAATAATTCAATTCAAAAGATAATATTAAATCCAAGAATTCTTCATCATGTGAGATAAATCATTCAATAAATATTATATGAAAATTTATCAGAATATGTTTTCATTTGGCACACAAAAACTAATATGTCCTAAAATGATGACTTGATAAAACATTTTTGTAATATTTTTTCACTCTTATGTTTGTCGATAAGCTTTTTATCATGCATATTATCATGTCACCTGTATTAGCTTCTCACAAAAAATATCACTCTTGTTCTATTGTGAAAGAAAACAAAGTGGTTTCGAGTTTCTTTTTTAAATAGTCGAACAAAATGACGCAGTTACAATAAAAATACTCATTAATCGAGAAAGTGCAATAAAAGGAATTTTTCAAAATCGAATCAGTAGAGTTGAAATCAAAAGTTTGTACATTAAATTAAAAGCTATGAAAGACTAAAAAGACACTCTGACATGGACTTTAAACTTTTCAGTATCCATAAAATGAATCATAATGATGAAAATAAACTACATATTTCGTCTAAGAAGCTATATCAAAGTTCTTAAAAAATCACGCAGAATTATTCAAATATTCGCTTTTCCCATTGTTTTGATAAATGCAGAAACCATCAGTTTTATTTTCTTTTACAATTACAATATTCTTCTAATAAGCACTTTATTTCGATGATATTTCATAAATATTTACCAGAAAAAGAAAATAAACTTATTCAATATAAATAGGATAAAGATCTGGTATAACAAGATCAAAACCTCCACCATAAAAAGTCGGAATAAGTTTTGTTTTGAGACCATTTTTAACACGAGTTATTGTTAATGTTTGTCTTTCGTGAAAGTTTTCACTATTAAAATAAAGTTGTTTAGGTGTCCATATAAAACAATCGTTACATTCTGTTGCTTGCCATTGAATACGAACAGTATCATTTCCATTAATTCGATGTGGTGGAGTTATAAGCCAAACTTGAACTTTTACACTTTGATTTAAAATTATTTTTGATGTTTGTGGATAATATGAAAGTCCAAGCATAACATCTCGGCAGATGGAAGTCCAATTGCTTGGTATTGAATCAAATAATTTATCATCTGGTTTTCCTACCGATATAATTTTATAATATGTTGTGAATTGTCTAACATCCCACCCTCCACGTGCAACTCGAGTTGATCGAAGAGGAGTTTGGGTATTTTTTTCAAAATATATTTCTTCACATGGATAATTTTGTCCACTATCAGTTTGACATGTTACATTTGAATACCAATAATCTTCATTTAAAGAAGAATCACTTGAATGGATCATTTCATAATTAAATTTCATGTAAGTTTTTATTTCATATGAACTTCCATTACGCCAAAATGAAGGAAATGAATTAAATGTATTTCCACCATATTTCCAATATGTTCCATACATGCAATTGAGAGGTGGAAAATCTACTAATAATTGAACATAATATTTTGATTGAGGAGAATCAGGAATTGCATATGGAAAATGCTTCATAACAAATGAGGTTTCACTTGCATAAGAACTTAAAGTGATTTTTTGATAAGCTCGTTGATTTATTTCATCAATTGCAATTGTTGTTACACCATTATCAGGAGAAAATACAATTTGAGGTGGAAAATAGGGTTGCGCACAATTACCCGTATAATACCCCAAGATAAATGATGTCAAATACAAGTATATTTTCATCATTTTACTATTCTAAAATAATAAACTTAATGTAAATTTATCAGAATATAACACAAAAAAAAAGAAATAACTCGTCATGAAAGTATGATTAGCCAAAATACAGTGTTACAATCATTCTTTATTCGTATGATTGTCAATAAACTATTATCACACATAGTACCATACCATCTGTGTCAGCCTTATCACAAATAATATTAACTCTGTTCTTTTTTTTTTCTTTTCTCGAAAGAAAATAATCTTTTGGTTTTTGAATGTTTGAGAAAAGAACGAAATTACAATAAAATATTCATCAATCAACAAAATGTAATGAAAGAAATTTTGAAAGATTCAACTTTGTTGAAAATAAATTACGCTTTTCGGGTATGCATCAATCTCAACGATGATCAATAATTATCTCTATTTAGGATTCTAAATAAACTGAAAAGTAAGTTAGCCGAGATAAAATTTATATACTCATGACTAAAGCACTGTCGAGACCACGCATGATATTTTTACTAGCTGATAGTTCACTCTGACACAACAATATTTCTGAATGATTCATTTCAAAATCAGATTTAATCACATCTTTAGACTTTCGATAACAATCTCTCTCTCTCAAGAATAAAATAATACGGTTAAATTATACTGATACTCTCATGTCATTCCAAATATTTGATAAATGATTATGATAGAGAGAATTAGACAAAAAAGTAGAAAAAACTAATCATATCCAATACGGATGATATTACAAATGCATGCTTCCAATATTTCATTCCTATGCAATAAAATAAAATAATGAAAAACAAGGCCTGAATTTGATATTGCGTCCATCATTTCACTACTTTCTCTGCCGATATCTGTCGAAAAGTCACTGACAATGGGTACCGCAATCATTGCCCTAGATACTTATACATGTTCTCTCTGATTTAGATATAATTCCTAGAATATGCAAGATGAAAAGGGAGAGCTTTATTCAATATGAACAAGATGCAATATTATCAGAACATGATCAAAAACCTTCACCATGTAAATCTCGAGTAAAAACTCTTTCAGGTCGATCTATTACACGAGTTATTGTTATTATTGGTCTTTCTTGAAGATTTTCATCGTTAAAAATTAATTCGTTTGATGATACTATAAAACTATCTTGGTATGAACATAGATTCTATGGAATACAAACAGTATCACTTTCATCAACTTAATGTAGACCAAGTATACGATTTAAACAAGTGACTGACGAATTTTTTGATACTAAAGCAAAGAATTTATAATCTAGTTCTCCAATTGATATTTTTCTTTCTTGTTCAACATCTCCTTCTCTACGAACAACTTGAATTGATCGAAGAGATATTTCAGTATTCTTTCAAAAACAACATTTTTCACTTGGATATTTGTCTTCAATATTACCTTCACATATTTCATTCCCATACCAATAATCGTAATTATCTGAAATATTACTTGAATTTATCGTTTAATTCAAATGAACTTTCATTAAGCCAATGTGATGGAAAGATATTTAAAAATACAATACATCATACTTCGAATACATTTTATATGAACATGAATTGGATAGAGAATTTTCTTGTAATCAGATTTTC